GGTTAGCACCCGTTAGTAGTTAACTTACGCAACCAACTCCCCTCCTGCACCCACTCATTCCTGTCATTGTGACTCCGCATAACCCTCGATGTTCTTCCGCTCCGTGCTCCGCGCTCACATAGTCTCTAACGATTCTTCTGCATAGCCCTTAATGTTCTTCCGCCCCACACTCTGTGCTCATGTAGTTTCTAACGATTCTTCCGCGTAGCCCTTAACATTCTTCCACTCCGCGCTTCACTGTGGGGTGGCTTCTGATATTCTTCCACCCCGATCTCCCTTCTATAAAAACCCTCTTCATACAACCTTTCCTTCTGATCTCTTTTCTCTTTCTTTCCTTAATCAATTCATAATCTGTATTTAGAATAGTGTTAGATTGTTAATTGAAGTACATCCATTACATTACAAATTGATTCTTCTGCATCTAAGACCTGAGTGCTTCATTATTAATTCTTACACTCAAGTGCATCGTTTACAGATCTGAGTGTCTAGTCATTACAAGAGATTCCTCATGGGTCTGAGTGCTCTTATTGTTAGTTATATAGACTGTCATGTTTAAATGTTTGAAACACAATCAACTGTGTTCTATAAAAAGGCCTGAGTGTCTATGAGCTGTAACACTGTGAATAGTGTTCACAAAGAAGCTTGATAAGCTTAACACTGCAACACTGTGAATAGTGTCTGTAAGAGGTCTGAGTGTTTATGAGTATTTTTTTTTTTTAAAAAATTATATATCTTTAGATACTGAAATGAACTATAAACAATTTTATGAACACTCATTGCATCTGAACACAGTAAATGATAATCTAAATCTATAAAACATTCTTCAACAGCAAGCATTACAGATGATTGAATTGCAATGATGATTTGCTGAAATGAGTATTTCTGCATTCAGTGTTTTTTCTACATCTGTGCTTCATGAAAAGTCTCTGAGAGAAAAACTTTCAATTCTTGATAAGTATGAGGGAGACCTAGCACTCTACCTCACATGGAAATCAAAAGCAAATGTCAAATTGAAGATTGATGAACAAGTAATAAACTCACTATCCAATCAAGCATGGTATATTCATAGCAGATTGAATTGTGATGTGTTAATGAAATTTTAACTTTGAATGAGTCATTGCTGAGACAATCAATATACATCAGAGCTAGTCTTTCAATAACTTGATTCTCTTTTCTTCAATTCTATACTTTAAATCAAGATGCTGAATTGGTTTAATGAAATTTATTAAAGAAATATCACATTGATAATTTATCTTTCTGAATTCAATCACAAACTTCTAAAAGCAGACAGGTAGAACTGAGATAATATCATCAAAATTAATATATTGTGCAATAATTTGAACTTTCAGTTGTATAATTGAAGTATAAAATATCTGAAGTCTTCAATATACAGTGAATTCTACATTGATTTTTATCTATTGAGCAATGATTTGTCTCAGTTCTGTGCATTTCAAAATTGTAAAAAATTCCATTGAACAAATACATACACTTTGAACCACTCTGCAACACCCTCTATTTCTAAATCAGAATTAATAAATTGAATCTCACACATGAATGCAAATCATCTGAGAGTTTCTAACATTTCAGAGAAAGATGTTGTTGACTGAATCATTAAAAAAGTCTGTATATACTGCAATAAGTTAAAACATTTCATGAATCAATTTTTGAATGTGATTGCTCTGAATAAACCCTTTATGTATGTGAACACTGCATTGTCTGTGGACAAGCAAGAACAGGGAAAAGAAGATCTCTCATTTTAAAATATAAATAAAAGCTCAAAAAATAAAAAGCTAGCTGAAGATTTAAACAGAAAATGCAAATGAATGCAATTATGATTTCTGTCATTGTAAATAATCTAATCAATAGCCCCGGTGGCCGAATGGGTAATGCGGCCACCAGATAGCGCCTTGGTGTGGGGACTCAAAGCGCGTGGGTTCAAAACTCACAAGGGGACAACATTACATTCAGAGTCAACTTCTCAGCTTCTAAAATAAAGGGATGTGAATTTGTCAAGTAAATACCTTCAAATGAATCTACTATCTGATTTAGCTTATTATTTTTAAATTGAAAATCTATATTATGAGTATCAAATTCTGTCTTTCATTAATTTTTCTATGTTTTTATTATATTCTTGATATCATTCAACATTAAGCATTCCTCCTGTATAACCAACTCTTGCCTGTATTTAACATTACACAAGAACTCATCATAAGCACTGCTTATATATGAGTATAATGAAAGAATAATAATAATAATAATCCAATCAATATATAAGCAATGATAGACAGCGGTTTTCTTCATTATATTTTTATAAACATTCAGCTAATTGAGAAGCATAAGCTTCAATGTATCTTTTTTCTCAAATCATATAAATTTAATGAATTTGATGATCTCAGAGGATCCGCCTTCTACAACATAATAAGATTTAATGTTGATATAGAAGAACATAAGAAAAAGAATATATATATATACAAAATATAAAGCTTTGAATATGATCTAATGCTCAGTCTATCATGACTCACAGAATTTGAAACTTTATTAAATACATACAATCACTGTCTTATTTTTTCAGAAAGCAACTGTGTTTATGAGAAAGATGTCAATAAAACCACTGATCTTATTCAGATATAAGCAGAAGTATTCAAACTACTAACTCATTAAATATATAAAAAGAAGAATGTTCAAGTGTTCACTGCTAGCATGATGAATATCAAAAAAGTGTTAAAAAAGTTAGAATTTAAAAACTTTAAAAAACTGTGCAAAGAACTATCTGAATTGTATGAGAACTTTGCAAATATATTTGATGAAAAAGAAGTTGAAAAGCTTTCCCCTCATTGAAAACACAGCATAAATTATACAATTGAATTCATCAAGAAAAATGATAAAAACTCACAATCACTTTAAAATTCTCTTTACAATATATTATATAATGAGCTTCTCATTCTACAAAAAACATTTAATAAATTATTAAATAAAGATTTCATTCATATTAGCAACTCACTCACTGCAGCCTTTGTACTATTTGCAAAGAAATTAGAAAAAGATTTACAATTCTGTGTTAATTACTGAGAATTTAATAAAATTACACAGAAGAACTGATACTCTCTTTCATTTACCAATAAAATGTTTGAATGAATAGAAAAACAAAATGATTTACAAAGCTTGACATCTCTGCAGCCTTTTATAAGATAAGAATTAATGAAGGTGATGAATGGCTAATTGCCTTTCATACATATTATGAATTATATGAATGAAAAGTGACTCTCTTTGGATTGGTGAATGCTCTGAATACATGTCAGAAATATATTAACTGAGCTCTATAAGACCTGTTTAATGAAATTGCTGCAATGTATATGAAATGATATTCTGATCTTCATCAATGAATCGCTTGCTGAGAATTGTAAATACATACAATAAGTGCTTGACTGTCTATAAAAAGCTGAACTGCAGATGAACATTGACAAATGCAACTTTGAAACTGAAGTGTTACAATCTATTTAGAATTCATCATCAAAGCTGAAAAAGATCTATGTAAGCGGCATGGGGAACCTGCCCTGGAACCCCCGGGTTGGGATGGAGGAGGTGGAGCGCAACACCATTGGGGTACAGAGCACCTCCCCAGGCACGGATGGAATCACAGTGCGGATGCTCAAAGCATGCTGGCAGCATGTGTCCCTCTTTATACAGCAGCTATACAACTGCTGCCTCCGGCTCTGCCACTTCCCACG